GGTTTTGTCGATGTTGACTTCATGTAGGTGTTGAAGATGTGGATGCTCTATGTTGATGTAGATCTTTTGGAGCAATCCTTTGGAGTGAGTTGCACTTTCAATACCTACACGGGTTAGTCCCACAAGGAACAAACAAGGATATCCATAGACATAGAGTGATGCACACACAAGATGATGCCTATGAAAGCATTGGGTTACCTTGTCCCTTGTCCTACCAACAAGAGGGTTTGTGACTCCATGAACTAGTGTAAGATGTGGAAGTTGGTTGCACTTGTCCTCGCCAAAATGATAAGAGTGAAGTATGTTGGTGGAGTCACCCTCAAGAACTCTCTAGTTCTTCTTCTTTGGGATCCACACCATCTTGATGGGAATCCTTGGAGTTGTAGTCATACTTGATGAAGTAGAACTTGACGTAGTCTTGGGAACCCACTTGACCAAGGCCTTAGGAGCTTCTTCAAATGCATCAATATTCTCTTGAAGCTTGTCCTTACCTTTCTGCTTGTGGTCTTGTGGTGGAAGATCATCGTGTGCTTGTGTCCCTTTGAAAGAAGTAGGATCATACTTCTCTTGTTGAGGAACAAACTTCATCTTGGGGTATTGATCTTCTTCCCACTCAACTCCATTGGCATTGAACTTTTGTTCAAAATCAACACCTTGGTTCTTCCGGTGCCTTCCTTGCTTGCGTATAATTTCCTCGAATTGCTTACTTCCAGCAAGGCTCTTGTAAACACCTTTCTCTATAATTCCCTTCAATAAGTTGTTTTCTTGCTCAGGTGTAACTTGGCTAAGAGAATCATTAGTGCAATTAAGAGAACTACTAGAAGCAACAACATTGGATTTAGCATGATGATTGTTGTTACTACTAGAGGAAGAATCTTTCTTGTTCTTGTTACTAGACTTGACTTGAGGCATGTAAGTAGATAAGAGTAAACGCTTGGCAATGTAAGAAGAACTTTTCTTGCGAAGATCATCATTGATTTTAAAAACTCATGTTCTTGCTCAAGGTTGAGCTTTTTAAAACGTAATTTCACATGAGTCCTTAAAAGTTCTCGATGATCTTCTAAGATAGTTTCATGAGCTAACTTAAGAGTGTTTAGTTCTTTAGTTAGAAGCTCAATCTTCTAGTGGGGAGTAACTTATACTAATATCATGCATATGGCACTAGTCTAAATTATTAACTTCATAGTTGTAGGATCGAAAGTATGTCTATAGGGGGGTGATTAGACTACTTGACCAAATAAAAACTTAGCCTTTTCCCAATTTTAATTCTTGGCAGGTTTTAGCAACTTAGCACAAGTCAAGCAATCAACCTACACATGCAATTCTAGAGTATAGCAGCGGAAAGTAACACAATTGCATATGAAGGTAAAGGGAGGAGTTTGAGGAGGCAAACGCAATTTGTAGACACGAAGATTTCTGAGCCGTGGTTCTGATAGGTGGTGCTATCGTACATCCACGTTGATGGATACTTCAACCCACGAAGGGTAACGGTTGCGCGAGTCCACGGAGGGCTCCACCCACGAAGGGTCCATAAAGAAGAAACCTTGTCTATCCCACCATGGTCGTAGCCCACGAAGGACTTGCCTCACTAGGGGTAGATCTTCACGAAGTAGGCGATCTCCTTGCCCGTACAAACTTCTTGGTTCAACTCCACAATCTTGTCGGAGGCTCCCAAGTGATACCTAGCCAATCTAGCAGACACCACTCTCCAAGAAGTAACAAATTGTGTGTTGATGATGAACTCCTTGCTCTTGTGCTTCAAATGATAGTCTCCCCAACACTCAACTCTCTCACACAGGATATGGATTTGGTGGAAAGAAGATTTGAGTGGAAAGCAACTTGGGGAAGGCTAGAGATCAAGATTCATATGGTAGGATTGGAATATCTTGACCTCAACACAAGTGTAGGTGGTTCTCTCTCAGAAAATGTAAGTTGGAAGTGTAGGCATGTTCTGATGGCTCTCTCCACGAATGAAGAGGAGGCGGAGGGGTATATATAGCCTCCACACAAAATCTAACCGTTACACACAACTTACCAATCTCGGTGGGACCGAATTGAGAAACTCGGTCAGACCGATTCCGTAAATCTAGTGACCATTAGGATTTTCGGTGGGACCAACATGCAACTCGGCAGGACCGATATGGTTAGGGTTAGGGCATAACATAATCTCGGTGAGACCGATTACACAAACTCGGTGAGACCAATTTTGGTAACAAGCTAACCTGAGAGTTGGTCAGGTAAACTCGATGGGACCGATTCGCTCATCTCAGTGGGACCGAAACGTTACGAAAGGGAAACAGAGAGTTTACATTGCAATCTCGGTGGGACCGATCGCTTATCTCGGTGAGACCGAAATGTTACAAAGGGAAACAGAGAGATTACAATCCCATCTCGGTGAGACCGAGATCCCTATCGGTTAGACCGATTTGCTTAGGGTTTGTGGCAGTGGCTATGACATCTGAACTCGGTGGCGCTGGATAGAAAGAATTGGTGGGGCCGAGTTTGACTTTTGGTTTAGGTCATATGTGGAAGTGAGAAAGTAGTTGAGGGCTTTTGAGCATATCACTAAGCACTTTGAGCAAGAACCTCGTTAAGAAACACCTCATCCCTCCTTGATAGTATTGGCTTTTACTATAGATTTAATGTGATCTTGGATCACTAAAATAGAAAATATAGAGTCTTGAGCTTTGAGCTTGAGCCAATCCTTTTGTCCTTAGCATTTTGAGGGGTCCACTTTTCTCATCCATGTCATGCCAATCATTGAGCTTTCCTGAAATATTTATCTTGGGATAGCATTAGCTCAATGAGCTATATGTTGTTAGGAATTACCAAAACCACCTAAGGATAGTTGCACTTTCAATAGTGCAAAGTAACATAGTAGTAGTGTCGTAGATGACTTCATTTGTTAGCTTGTAGACTCACCTTGTCTTGGGAAGCGCTATGTTATACTACATTCGTCCCGGTTTATTAGTCCCCGTCATATTTTGTGCCAAACTTTGACCTTAAATTGAACTAACGAAATATTAATGCATGTTTAAAAGAATAATATCATTGAAAAGTATGTTCAAATACGAATCCAACGATATAATTTTTTGTGACATGCACTAACATTTTGTTAGTTAAATCTATAGTCAAAATTTAGCAGAGGATACAAAGGGGACTAATAAACCAGGATGAAGGTAGTAGTAACATATATGTTACTACCACTTCTCATTAATTACTTGCCACATAAGCAAAAAAAATTGAAGTTTGCTATGTTACTAGCTAAAAGCATCTCCAGCCCCCCCCAACAGCCCCCCAGGACCACTTGTTTTGCACCGGTTAAAAAAATGCTCCAGTCATGCACACAAGAGCTCGTTTTCTGCCGAATTTGTCCAAAGTTTCGACCGAAGCTCGCAGGGGAAACCCAGCGCACTGGGGGCGAGCTGGGGAGACTGACGGTACTTTTTCGCATGCAATTAGCCCACAGTCTACCACCTTTTCCCTTTCTCTCCCCTCTTTCCACCTACCCCACGTCGTCGCCCACCTTGAGCGGCCCTGGGACCCCGACTTGGCCCTTGTCTCCGCCGTCACGCTGGTTCAGGAAGCCCAAGCCTAGGGCGAGGGCGAAGCCCAAGGTGAAGGACAACCCCGACTCCCTCTCCAGCACCTCATCGTCGTGCAGCAGCGGCAGGTCTCCCATCGCAGTCAGTCGCGGCCTCCTCTCGCCCTCCTCGCCGGTGACGCCCTAGACCAGGCCCCCCTCTTCCCGTTCGTCATATCCACACCGGCCCCCGTGTCCACCGTCGGCGACCTGAGGAGCCTCGGCTCGCTCAAGCGCTGCCTCGACGCGCTCCACGACGACTGTGCCCACGATCACTGCTCCTGGGGGGTGCTACGAGTGGAAAATTTTGCCCCCCTCCTGAGGCCAAAATTTTCGCCGGCAGCCCCCAAGCGGCAAAAAAATGCCTTCTGGGGGGCAAACGAGTGGAGATGCTCTAAGTTACTCCCACTATGACTAGCCTAATAACGGGGTTTCTTTTTAAGGACCAGGGGACCATGTGGTATTCCTTTTTGGTCGGCCGCTGGCTAACCCTTCCAAGCGGCCAAACGCTCGCTAGATGCGACCTTAAATATTTAGTACTCCCTCCGTCTAGGTGAATAAGTCATCTTAGGCTATGCACCGTGACCAAGGAAGAGGGGAAAACGAGAGACATTAATGTTTATTTGCTAATTAATAGTATTGCATGCAATGAACTAACCACTGCATGTCGTGTTTGATAGTCTCAAGTTATTAAAAACATGCACACCCTCATTTCTTATTGGTTGATATGTCAAGAAACAAGAAACAAGGTAGAAGTTAATGCACCGCGCCTAAGTGTTTTGAGATTATTTAGTTTTTCGTAAGATGACTTACACACCTAGACGAGACGAAGGGAGTAGTATTTCGCCATTTCGTTCTCGTGCTGACAGGTGGGCCCCATAAACATGTGCTGCATAATTCACTCATTCCGGTCTTTTTCGTTTGGATACAACCTAAAGGTCGAAAACGACACAGATTGAAGAAGTCAAGGTATTTATTTCAGGGATTTAGACATCAAAATTTGTTCGCAACGTGCACTGTTAAGACAGGGTTTAAAATATACTTCGCTCTCAAAGGAAGCCTCGGTCGCACCTTCATTCCGTCCTCTAGGCGTCGGTCACACTGCTATAAAAATCCCATCGTTCCCCACTCACAACCCAACCCGGTCCACTATCCAGATCCATATTCTCTATCCTGACTCTGCTCCTGCGATCACCAACCCCAATCCAAGGTATATGCGTGCACCAAGAACCGTCTCTGTCCCGTGCTACCGTGTGTAGATCTGCCGAGAACGGCGCTCTAGTTTCTTTTTGATCTGCAACCTTTTTCATCTCTGTTTCGCGACACCAACTCACGACTGGATCCGGTCGCTGGTCTGTCCCTGATCTCTGTGTGGTTTTGATTTTGATCCAACCAGGCCAACAGCAACAGGGAAATCATGAGCGCCATGGTCGCGTCGTCGCTCAACCCTGAGGCCCCGCTCTTCATCCCGGCAGCGTTCCAGCAGGTGGAGGACTTCTCGCCGCAGTGGTGGGACCTCGTCAAGTCCACCGCCTGGTTTCGCGACCACTGGTACCACCAGCACCAGCAGCTCGACGATATGGCCGATTCCCTCATCGCCTTCGAGGCCGAGGACGCCATCGACGACGACCTCTTGCACGGCTTCGCCGTCGAGGCTTCGCAGCCGCAGCCGCCAGCGGCACTCAAGACTGGTACCAACCAATTCACTTTCACTGTCCACGCCTATATATGTACTGTACTATATGATATGAGCGCTCAAATAAAAGATGAAGCAAGACTGCAGTGAGCTCATCACGTATGTGCTTCTGTATGTGCAGACGGGGTGCTCAAGGCGCTGAGCCTGGCATCCCCAAGCCCAAAGGTCGGCGACGCCCTGCGTGTCTCCTCGGAGAAGCCTAGGTACACCGAGAAGCCCACCAAGTACGCTGGCAGCCCGAGGAGCGGTGGCGCACCGCGTTTCATCCACCAGCCTCGCTAGGTTGGGATGTCAAGCTTCAAGAATCCACCAAATCCTGCGCCTTGTGTCATGCAGTGATGCATTGCTCTGGCTGCTGCCGCCGTCTCATCTTTCAAGTCTTCTTCTAGTACTCGCGCCCAGTAAGTAGTGGCGTCCGTTTGTATATTATATTAAGTAGAAATGAAATGACCCAAGAAAAAGGCAACAAAATGCAACCGATGTTTAGTGTGATTTGCCTTGTAAGTTATGTTCTGCACAGTGTGTTGGACAAGAATGTATAGTAGAATGCATCCTTGTTATTGCGTGGCCAAGCAGCTTAATGTTAATTACTCCGTTATTTAGCCTTTTCTAAAGATAAAATGCGTCGCTGTTGGTTGTTGAGATGCCATTCTCTTCTGATTTATTGTTGATTGATTGCTGCCACAGTGCCACGTTCTCCATGGGAGTTTAGAATCCTGGTGCCCAAGTACTCCCTCTTAATAAAGAAATAATAAAGAAATATAAGAGCATTTACTCAAAAAATTATAAGAGCGTCTACATCCAGACCTCTCAAACCCGCCTCATATGCCCGAGTGAGCCGCCCGATCACTGCTCAGTCACGATTTTTTGAGCTAGACGCGCCACTCAAACAGCGGCATCGAAACCCTACCATCCATCACATTTTCCTCCTCTTGTGCGCCGCCGCCGCCACTTTCCACTGCACCCGTCTGCCTAGTAGCCATGTCCCCATGCCGATGAGTGAAGAGCGAGCCCTTTCTGATGCCGCTGGCTTGAGCTCCTTCAGCAGATTCGTCCTAGGCGCGAAGCCCAAATCGCCGCGGGGCTACCTCCGGATGCAGTGGATCTGGAGGAGGAGTTGGAGGAGGAGGACGAGGAGAAGGACTTTGAGGAGGAGGAGGATGAGCCGGAGGAGGAATATGTGGGGGACGCTGACGACGTGGATCTGCAGGCGGAGCAGCAGGCCATCCTCGATTCCCTCTGGTCAGAGTCGGCTGCGGAGGCAAGACGTCGTCATCGGCAGGAGATGGAGGCGCAAGAGGCCGCGGATAAGGCGGAGATGTTCGCCTACATGGATGAGGTCGAGCAGGAGGAGGATGAGCCAGAGCCCTCCTACGCACCCGTCCAGCCGGCGCCCGGCACCGTCGTCGTGGAGATCTCCGACGATGAAGAGTAGCTAGGTAGTACGTAGATGTAGTAAGTAGGATTCCTTTTCCATTCTTTGTATGGATTTAGGGGGTAAAATATGAGAGAGGCGAATGCAAGGTGGCTAGTTTGAGGCGTGCCCGGTCAATGGCCGGGAACGCGCCCGGACGCGTCCGCGGGCGTTTTGAGGGGCCAGATTTGCAAAGTTTGGCTGTAGATGCTCTTAGTGAAGGAAATATGCCCTAGAGGCAATAATAAAGTTGTTATTTTATATTTCCTTATTTCATGATAAATGTTTATTATTCATGCTAGAATTGTATTAACCGGAAACTTGATACATGTGCAGATACATAGACAAAATACCGTGTCCCTAGTAAGCCTCTACTTGACTAGTTCGTTAATCAAAGATGGTTAAGTTTTCTAACCATAGACATGTGTTGTCATTTGATGATAATGATGTGATGGACAAGACCCATTCATTAGCTTAGCATTATGATCGTTCAGTTTTATTGCTATTGCTTTCTTCATGTCAAATACACATTCCTCCGACTATGAGGTTATGCAACTCCCAGATACCGGAGGAATGCCTTGTGTGCTATCAAATGTCACAATGTCACTGGGTGATTATAAAGATGCTCTACAAGTATCTTCGAAGGTGTTTGTTGGGTTGGCATAGATCGAGATTAGGATTTGTCACTCCATGTATCGGAGAGGTATCTTTGGGCCCTCTCGGTAATGCACATCATAAGAATCCTTACAAGCAAAGTAACTAATGAGTTAGTTGCAGGATGATGCATTATGGAATGAGTAAAGAGACTTGTCGATAACGAGAATGAACTAGGTATGAAGATACCAACGATCGAATCTCGGGCAAGTAACATACCGATGACAAAGGGAATAACGTATGTTGTCATAACGGTTCGGCCAATAAAGATCCTCGTAGAATATCTGGGAGCCAATATGAGCATCCAGGTTTCGCTATTGGTTATTGACGGGAGAGGTGTCTCGGTCATGTCTACATAGTTCTCGAACCCGTAGGGTCCGCACGCTTAACGTCCGATGACGATTTTGTATTATATGAGTTATGTGATTTGGTGATCGAATGTTGTTCGGGGTCCCGGATGAGATCACGGACATGACGAGGAGTCTTGAAATGGTCGGGAGGTAAAGATTGACATATAGGACGATGGTATTCGGACACCGGAAATGTTCCGGAGTGTACCGGGTACATGTTGGGTCACTAGAAGGGGTTCCGGGCACCCCCCTCCCCCCGGCAAAGATATGGGCCTAATGAGCCAAGAGGGGAAACACAACAGCAACCAATAGGGGCCGTTGCGCCCCCTATATGGGCCGCACCTGAGGGGAAGGAAAGAGGAGAAGAGAGAAAGGAAGGGGAGGGATTCGGCCTCCCCCTTCCTTCCTTCCCCCTCCGGAAAATATGGTAAGGGGGGCGAATTGGACTAGGCCCCCAAGTAGGATTCCTCCTACTTGGGGCGCCCCAAGGTTGTTCCCCTTCCCTCTCACCTATATATACATGGGGGGGCGCCTAGAACACATACCAACAATCGTTAGCCGTGTGCGGCGCCCCCCTCCACAGTTTACGCCTCCGGTCATATCTTCGTGGTTCTTAGGCAAAGCCCGGCGTGGATCACTTCACCATCACCGTCACCACACCATTGTGCTGAGGAAACTCATCTACTTCCTCGACAATTTACTGGATCAAGAGTTCGAGGGACGTCATCGAGCCGAACGTATGCAGGACTCAGAGGTGCCCTACGTTCAGTGCTTGATCAGTCGGAACAAGAAGTTCGACTACATCAACCGTGTTATTAAAACGCTTCTGCTTTTGTTCTACAAGGGTACATAGACACACTCTCCCCCTCTCGTTGCTATGCATCTCCTGGATAGATCTTGCATGAGCGTAGGATTTTTTTTGAAATTGCATGCTACGTTTCCCAACACTTAGATCACTAATTTAAGAGCGTTTACTCCAAACAATATAAGAGAGGTTAGATCACTAAAGCGCTTTTATATTTCTTTATGGAGGGAGTAGCCGGTGCTCAAAGTGGAAGATGATAATATTCAGTTGGATTGATTTATGATAATTGCGGTGTTCACCTCAGCTATATACTTAGAGAATCTCTAACAAACCCTTTATACTCACACGAACTGTAAGACTAGATGATATCTCAGACGTTGCTGCAGGACTTCCTAAGCACATGATGACAAATGGTTACTGGGAAGTCAGGGAAGGTTGGCGC